TTTTTTTTTTTTTTTTTTTTCATATTTTTGTTTCTATATATCCTTCATCTTCGTCGTAGTAATTGTGTTTGTTTGTTTTTCTGCAATTTGATAAATTGTTATCAAAATCTTACTCCTTGATGCCTTTTACGGATCTGAGATGTTGCCCAATCTTGTATTAACTTCGGGCTACCGATTACATTTGCTAGAGTATTGTATTAGAAGAACCTGTTGGCGTTTCATATTTTTATCCCTAAATTTGTTCAGAATCTATAAATGGTTTTGAATTGAACTCAGTTCAATTATATGAACAAAAGGAACAACTTTTCTTGCAATTGTAGTTATTTTACTATTTGATAGCATGCATATATGTTGAAAAACATATGGCTGTTCAAATGTACTTTTTTAGAGTCTACACACACTCCTACAGTATGGTTACTCACATGAAGATACGAATTGTTGTTATTGCTGGTGTTGTTTTTGCAGAATGCATCATTGGAATATAAGAAGGTAACGAATGTCAAGGACCAATTGGTGGCCGGGTTGCTCTACTACATAACGCTGGAGGCGGAGGAAGATGGTCAGAACAAGGTATACGAGGCCAAGGTGTGGATCCAGCCATGGATTAAATTTAAGTCACTTACGGAATTTAAGTATGTTGGTGACGCCTAAGAAATTTTTCGCTTCTTGTTGATGATCAGAGTAAATAAACCCAATAAAAGTAGTGTATTTAATTCGGATTCTCTGAAATTTGAGGTGAATGAACTATGAGAGGTATGGGGATATAGGCCTGGTTTCTGTCTTCCCTGAATCTGTTCTGGAGACCGTGAATTCATTAATTTTAGGATTGTAGGAAAACGATCTGATCTCAGCAAGGCTATCATTTGGACTGTTATGTAATATCAGTCTCTTTGTTTGGTTATGATGCATTAAAATACACACTACATGATGTTTCTTGGAATGTGATGTTTATAAGTTTATATTGGTGGTTGTCAGGGGCATAGCCAGGATTCAAATTATCCCTGGGATAGGCTTGTCGTGACGAAATTTGCATAAGTATGTCAAGTTAAATAGAAAATTAATTTTAAATAAATGTTTAATGGTAAATAAATTAGTTTTGTCAGGATTCATAACCGTTTGGCAGTTATATTAATTCAGGCTTTTATTTAATACAGTATAAATTAGGCATAAATGCATTTTTAGTTTCTGTTGGTTTAACGACATAGCAATTTCATTCTCAAGTATCCAACTTTGCATAAATGCATTTTTAGTTTCTGTTGGTTTAACGACATAGCAATTTCATTCTCAAGTATCCAACTTTTCATATTTTTGTCCTGTGATTTAATATTTTGCATTAATTCTAGAGGAATTTGCACCACATACTATCATATATATTTTATGTAACACATTTACAGTTGATTAATATTTATTTGCAAATATACAAAATCATTCTAACATAATTACATATATACTAGAATTCAAATGTAAGTCAACTTATCATTTAAATAAAGAAGGAGAATTACAGAGATTTTATACATTATCTCTCCTTCTATTCTCTCTCATTTCTCCCGCATTACGAGGAACCCAAGTGCAGTAAAATTTACAGACGTTCGCACAAAAACAAGATCTACATGAATTAAAAAGGAGAAATTCAGAAGCCTGCAAAATAATCACCAATCGATCACCTTGCCGAAAGCAATAGACACGACGAACGCGGTGTAGAAGAAGAAGATGCATAAAGATCCGACGGTGGAGGCCATCCCACCGTCTGTACCAAGCCCCTATCCGATCTGAATCGGACAAAATCTTTTCTGAAAATGTTCGGATCTCTGGAGGAAAATTTGGATTTTTTGATAGGGAAAGTCTTCTGTTTGACCTGCTATGTCATCATCTCGAGGAAGAGAAGCACCATTCTCTCGCGGGTTAAAGATCAAAGTTGATGGAAAGGAGTGGAGTTGAAGATCTCAGGATAAATTTGGCATGAAGAAGTTGAAGAAACCTGGATATTCGAATTAGTATTCCGCAAACAAAGTCACTTTCATAGTTGTACGTACCTGTCTCCCCTTTAGCTTCCTCGGAAGTAAAGTCTCCTACACGTCGGAATAAAACTCGGAACAGCCGCCGTCGAAGCTTCAAACTCGGTGGCTCCAGACCAGCGGGTAGGTACAATTCCATATTAATGAGTTACAAAATATAATGGAGACTCGCCAATCTGGAGAAATATTAAATTGCTGATAGCTTTGCAAGCAAGGGATTTTTCTTACCAAATGTTATAAGTGAAGATCTTGAAGATTTAGAGATTCTCAAATTTATTTAAAAAAACCTACTTTTCATCGATTTTATGTATAGCGAGAGGTCACAAACTCAAAAGTTTGCAATTCACTCGTTGTTTGCGACGAGTACTAGCGCTCCCTCTTCGACTTCAATCTCTTATGTTGTTTACGGTTCTTCCTGATCAAAGACGGAGAGGTCCTTCCTGATGCTGTGAAGTTCTTTGCTGTTACTATTGTGTTGGAACTTAGATATCATATAAAACCCTAACCCAAGTTATATGTTTCGGTATATGTAGCGTGTATAGGCAGTATATGTCCAGTATATGTACATCTTAGAGACATGTACATTTATTGTACATCTTAGTTTATGTTAGGTATATTAGTTTATGTATAATGTAAGTGTGAGCATCCTGGCCGGTTTGGAATAGATCGCCTCTCGTCCTCGCCGGTGGAATGCTGGAAACCTACAAACAACTCTCACACCGGGGGGGGGTTCTCCGGTGAAGAGCCTCCGATGTTTAAGTAAGTACATGTATGTTTGAGTAGAATAATGGAAATTGTGTGTTAAGGAAGAAAGGCTCACCCCTCTTTATATAGAGGTGAGATACCTGACCTAAGGGTTGCTCGGACTTGGTGAGCTGGCTGCCCCAGCTGCCCGTCCGTACTCTGACACGCCGCGCGTATGTCAGAGGTGGCGTTGTGAGTCGTCAGAGGTGGTTGTTGCTGTCAACCAATGCATTCTAGCCACGTGTCCTCTGCACATGGGATGATTATTCCTCTGAATATTCTCCTGAAATTCGGTGAGAGGCTCTTACACGCGCATATGACTAGGTCGATCTCCAGAATACTGCCAATCCATGAGTGGTCGATCTATCGAGGTCGACTCGACTGCTCGAATGCTCGACTGTTTGACTGCTTGACTGGTCTATCTTTCAGCTATTTGTGATGCGCTGTCCGTCATAGAGTCTTCCGGGTTTTATCTTCAAGGTGTTCGACCATCCTCATCTTGCTCGATTACCCTTAGATTGGTTCGGCTCCCTCACGGTACAACCTCTTCGACCGGCTCAGCAGACTGGTTTACCCTTGTGGGTGTAATATCCCATATCATCTAGTCCCTCCCACTCTGGTCGAGTCTGAATAACTCGATTTAAGAGTGAATTTGTTCTCGTCTTTCCTCTGGGAATTAGATTGCATATCGACCATATAGTGCATTTCCTGCTATTTTTTTCAATTATTTCCCTTTTAACCGCCAGAAATAAAGCTGCTTACTGCGCGTCCTTTCTGCCGCGCCTACACATCTGCCGCATGTCGTACTTGTCGCGTCTGACAAGCGTTTTAATTATTGCACCCTCTCGCATAACGCGCCCCTTTTGAATCCCATGCTACTTGAATGTTCTCAACCGTGAGATTCTACTTTAATCCAACGGTTCTCATCCTCCAACCCTTCAACTTATCCAAGTATAAAACCAACACTTAGCCAATTTTTTGGATTTTTTCCACCTTTGCATTTTCTGAACTCTCTTCGCTCTTCTATTTCTTTGCAAAATCCTAGCCTTTTGCTTTCGATGATTTCTCTTGCATTCTCAAGGCTCTTTCAATTCCTTCAACTGCGACTATGAGTAAGTTGTTCTTCACTTGAATTCGTGCTTCCTGTGTTTCAAATTTATATGCTCCTGAATTTTTCGCGTTGGGTATCTTGAATTTGTCTGTTGAATATTCTGAATTTGTGCGTTTTGTTCTGAATCTGTGTGCTGGGTACCTCGGTTTGCTTGTTAAGCGTTGTGAATTTTTGCTTTTCCTTTCAAAATTTTTCAAAATTTATGTTCTTCCCCTTCAATTTCTCATAGTCGTTGATATAGCCCCGTTATCATAGCCCGATTCAAATGCTAATTACTCAAATGGGAAAACATTGCTGACGACACCATTAAGTCGACATCTCCGAAGTCGACTTAGCCCATTGGCCATTCGAAGACCATCATCGGTCCGATAACGGTCTGAAGTCAACTTTAGGGAGTGGATTGAGTACAAGACGACTTCTCTTAAGCAGACGAGCGGGCACTCCGGGAGCCCCGGATGCATATATAACCTTAGGTCGACTTGGCAAGGCCCCAAGTCGACTTATAAGACCTCCGATGACTTGATACACTTAGGTACAACATATGGAGAATCTCCAAATGAGTCTAAGTTCACACAAGATAAGAAGGAATCTAGATGCTGACTCAGGAGTGGGCGGAATGCGAACCGACCAGGGCATTTTGGACACTTCGTGTAAGTCGACCGGGGCATTTTAGGTACTTCAAGTAAGTGTTTCTACTCCTATATAAAGGAGCTGAGGTAACTCCAAACCCTAACTTTTCATTCTCTACTCATTTCCCAGCTGCTGCTCCTACTGAGCTGAGCTCATCTTCACCACTTTCACTGACTTGAGCGTCGGAGGCTCTTCACCGAAAACACTTCCGGTGTTGAGTTCTTGCAGGTATTTGCAGCGGTTCGAGGACAATTTGGAGCTAATTCGAACAGATCGGAGCTCATTTCCACTGGTTCACTCCAGATCTAGGAGAATACCCATCAAATTGGCGCCGTCTGTGGGGAGTTCTTGAAGGAAGTAAGAGCTTTGCACCTAGTTCTGATCTATTTGACATGGCGGAGGAGGGACTGTCGAGAAATCTAAACGAGGACTTCAGGGCAGCATGGACAGACAAACGGCCGCCGTCGATTCCTGGCCCTAGACCACCCTTCCAAGTGCTTGGTTTCCCATCGTTTGGAGGGCACGCGCCGTCGGGAGTTCGTATGGAGGAAGAAACACCCATCACACCACCTGGGGTAAAGATTCCAGGGCTAACACAAGGAGGATCTAGCCAGGCAAAGGCCACGGACACGAGAGTCGACAGGCATGAGTCGACCGAAACGACTTTGAGCTTAGGAAAGCAGCCTGGAATGTTGGAGCCAGGGGCAAGACCATCACCCCAGGTCGAGGAGCAGACGATGACCATGACGAGGAGTGAGATGCAAATGATGATTGCGGAGGCGGTGGCAGACCAACTCAAGCAAGCGCAGGTCGAGCAACCCAGGGTCGAGCAACCTAGGATCGAGCTACCACCTCATGACCGCGAGCAACAGGCCAGTCCAATGAGAGGCAGATCAGGAGGGCGGAAGAGGAAGCATCTTCCATCAGGACCGTCAACCCGCAAGTGAGAGAGGAGACACTGGAGCAGTTGCTGGCCCAAGTTCGCGATTTGCAGACCCGAGTCGAGGGAAGAAAAATTGGAGGCTCAAGGGGACACCCGTTCTCGCAGCACATTCTGGATGCCGACCTGCCGCAAGGTTTTCGTGATCTAAACATAAGCTATGACGGGTCAACTGATCCGTCTCGTCACATGAGGAGGTTTGAGAATATGG